CCTTTTACCCCACACTTGACATGAACTTTAAGTGAAGAGAAAGAGAGAGAGAGAGAACGCTTTCCTTGTCTTGGCTAACGGTCCCTGTGACTTTCAGTTTTCCTTTCACGGCGTGGGCTTGTGTCATTAAAACGACCATGTCGAGGGTAGTATACGTTCTTACCGTACCGTGCGTCATGGGGATCACTCGCGATTGCCTCTGAATTGTGCAGTTGTGGTTACAACCCCCCAAAAAAACCCGGGTTTCCCTTCTTTCTCTTTTTTGCCGCAGGGTCTCCTAATTAACGCTCCTCCAAAGTGAGGGTGACGTCTTCCCAATATGCGGCAAAGGCAACAACAAAAGCGTTCTTGTGATCGCGATTTTTTTCACTGTATGTAACGCGATGCTCTTTTGTTTCTTCGTTGACGAAATTTAGGAAATTGATTGAGCTTGAAGAGAATGACCCCGAAATCTCCTGTCTTCTTTGGGAGATTTTTTGTATATTGAGAAATATCGATTATCTTCTTTTTCGTGCGTAGGCAGGCCTATTGTAGCTGCCGCAGCTCCTAAAGGTTAACCAAACAAGAGAAGTTTAACCGGAGACACGGAAACGCACATGATTTACCTGTAGAGAAACGTTTCCTAAGTTGTGTCAACAACTTGTAGAAGCTTATCTCTATGCGCAGCGGTTGGTAAGTTACAATAACGCAGTTCGTGGTGATGGCTCATTGCGAAGACTTGCAGCAAGGTACTCAACTCTATGAAACTTCACGGCTCTTTTTTCTTTCTCTCGAGATAAAACTGTACGCACTTGAGTGTGGAGTGTGTATTTGCTTTTTTATGAACCTAACGCGACGAACGTAAATGACTTTATTAGCAAATATATGTTATATTTCTCTGTATTTTCGATTCGGACACTTGTTTACATGGCTCTTGCATTCCTCTCATGTATATACACGACCTTGCAAATGAAATATGAAAGTAAAAACAGCCAAGACTATTCTTCCTGCTGCTTGTTACAATTTATTCGAGTTCTCTTTCACGACGATGAATGCAAGTACTCCGTTTATTCAAATCTTAACACCCATTTTGCGAAGTCATTCAATGTCATTTCATGAACTCCTTCAGACAACATCAATCATATTATAACTAGCTACACTCAACACACTTATGGTGCCTACAGAATGGAGGGGTTACTAAGCTAATGCATCTGTTGTGCGCTTTGAGGGGGGGGGGGGGGTAGTTTCATCTACAAGCATTGAGTGTTGTATGAACTGCGGTATACATATCAGCACGAAATTGTTTTACGCTGGAGTACACCAGTACTTTAGTGGCGTGTTTCGACATGGATATGCCGTTGATAAAGTGGACGCTAGCTACGAGAAAAAGTTGTACTGCCGGGAAGAGCACGTAGAAAACCTCACGGTCCCCGGTGATAAGCGCCCGGTGCTTGATACCGACTAAGCTAAACCAAATGTCTGTTTATTGTTTTCGTTCCTGTGTAAGGTACCAAGGCACATGCACGACACTCCACAAACGTGTCTTCTTTCGCTTAGACCTTATATCGCATGAACTAGTCGACGAGGGTTGATGCTACTGTCTATGCGCGGTGAAGTGAACTAATGCGCCATGGCCCTTTCTAGCAGCCATATATAAACACCTCTGTAACGAGATAGTCAAAGCGTGGCCCGGTTGTAAAAACATGGTCATAGTTAAAGTGCCTCAATAATATTTAGCAGCACTGGAAGCGTTGCCGTCCGTTTCGATCCATCTCCAGATTTCTTTTCTCTATTTCTTTACCTAACGTGGAATAGCAGGTCAGACAAATGATTCGGGCCAACCACCCAGCTCTTCTCATATAACAAACCTTTCTCTCTCTCTCCCTATGCCATGATGATTTTGATAGCACGAGCTCTTCCAAGCTCGCGCCAATGGAGACAATGGAGCACAGAGAAGACAAGCTCTTGTTTCTTTGTCGTCGTTCTGAGCTCGCGCTATGACAATCGTCGTGTCATACCAGCTTGCCCAAACCACCACGCTTCTCTCTTTACCTTTAGCTTCTTATTAGCGTGTGATGACTAGCAGGAGTAGTGGGGCTTCCACATACACAAACGATGTTTGTGTATGTGGAACCGCCACCGACTGCGTCGAGTGCGATAGCACTGAATAATAAAACTGCTGCAATATGCACTGCAGAAAGGCAACGATGTCAACGGGCGAACGTTGAACCTCGGCGAAGCGAGACAAAGGCCAGTGGGGCGTGGTACGCCTTCGCGCATTATCAGCAGAAGCTGCTAGCCTCTACCTCCCGTGTGGCAGAAGCGTAGTGTGCACGAATGGGCACAGGCGCAAATTATTCCATAATTCGGGATCGCACACTGGGTCATTTGTCTCCTTAATTGACGACCCTTTAAGCAAGGGTATATTGAGTACTACTGTTTATTTGTGTTTGTGGAAGCCATTTTACCTCATTATTCTCAATAAACTGTGCCCAGGTATATGTTTACTACTTCAGCTATCACAAAGATTAAATCTGACACTTTGTTTAAAGGGGTCAGCATTATTCTTAGCACATTTTTTCACCATGCTTCCACATCATTATTTTAAAAAAATCACAGCATATCCACGGAGTGAATGATGATGAGTTGGGCGAAGCAGCCTTCAGCTTGTCCGTCCGTTCGTTCCTGCTTCCGTTCGTCTGCGCGACCATTCGTGCGTCTGTCCATCCATCCGCGTGTCCATCCATCTATCTGTCTGTCTGGTAGTCTGTCTGTCCGTTTGTCCATGCGTCCATCTGTGCGTCTATCTAGTGAACACTTCACGTACCGCCATCTGGCATCTTGCATCCGCTGTGGCATATACGTCAATCCACCTGTCCGTCTGTCCGTCCATCTATCCGTTCGTCTGCTAGTCTGTCTGTCCATCCGTCCATCTTTGCATCCATCTAGTAAACACTGTAAGTACCGCTATCTCACATCACCCATCCCCTGTGTCGTGTCACGCCGACGAACAGGGGACATTGCTCGACTCTAGGAAGCTTCGCCCCTAAAAATAATCTTACACTACAAGACTTAGATGGGAACAGTGCATCTCAGAATTTCATTGGCTTCAACGAAGGTAACTAGTGTTGAAGGGGGGGGGGGGATGGATCAACAACTTTAAATATATATTTAGTTTTGCATGTGTATATATGCACATCCGTGCATGGTTACCTTGGCGGTGCTGTTAGAAGCGTTTACTTTTTGTTATTTTATTGCCTGGAATAATTTTCCTGTATACACACAATCACACTTACAAACGCACGCACGAACTACATAGGCCTAAATGCCAGTTGAGCCCCCATCGCCTGGAAGAAATATCTGGTGACGTCGTACCGTGTAATATTTCTGCAAGGATAACTTCAACGATTTCCCTCTAGGAATCGTACGGTGTATTCCACAAACATTTACTCCGCTCCCACATTGTTCATTGGCCACACAGAAAGCTGATGCGAAAAAAAGATTAAAAAAAGTACGCTTCACACTTTTCCGGGGATTTTTCTGCAACCTTTACCAGCAAGTACAATAAACCGTTCCGCTACACCACGCGGCTGGAGTGACCGGCCAGCTGCCGCAGATCAGTACGCCCGCAAAGGGCGTTTCAGCCCTTCTCTTCCTTAGCGTGTCTTTTCTTCTAGCATTTGCTTTCAGCCTCTGCTAAAAACATAAATTGGCCTACAGAAGAAAGGAGAAAGATTACGCACGCCATCGAACACCATCGAACGTGTGTGTGGTTCCACAAACGAGGCCCCTATTCGCAATTCATTTATGCTGACGAAGCACCGACGTCTAAGGCAAATTCCCGAAAAACGGCCTTAAAACTGCGAGGTTTAACTTCAAGGTGGGTCAGTGACTATAAAGAGGGAGAATATTTAAAGAAAAACTCGGAAAGGAGCAGCTCCAAAGTTAAGAAAAATGCGCATATCACTGTCGACAAGCTCAAGAGATTATATTTCAACTGAAAAACGTTGGTTGTATTGTTAAGTTGTGCCTTCAAAACCCGGCTGATTAGAACTATGCCAGAGTGGGAAATATACGCAGCTAATCATACATTTTATTCCTAATGGGGATCTCAGCTAGCTGTTTATTTCCACTTTGTTCGCATGTAATAATATTAATATTAGCATTAATAATAACATGAAAAGTTTGCAACTAACGCAGATTGTTCGGTACATAATATATTGCATAATCTTTCGCAATGAAGAGCAAACAAGAAATAGAGTTCTGTCGCTTGCAACACACTCTAAGTTTATATTATGACACACCAGAAGATTTAGGTTGTAACGCAAAGTGCAGCAGTTTTTCTTAGTTACGAATGGTCAGATATTTCCTTTGTGTATAGGAGGCCGTTTATCGCAGCTATAGAATAATCATGTTTAAATGAAAATATTAAGAGACGTCTCCTAATAGCATTTTTTGTTATTCGAGAAACAACTCGTGCTTCAAGACAGGGATATAGATTTAAATCCTCCATTTTCCATTTCCGCAAGGTTCAATGCAGAACCTGCAGGGAAAATTTCCTGTTCACTTCAATGAACAAATTGTATGTCTCGCCGTATTCAGTGTCGTCTAGCTGCAGTAGCTGAGTATCTTATATGCATCAAATAATAAAACCTGGGGTTTTACGTTATAAGGCTCGCCGCATCAGTCGGCTACGGAAATAGCAACCCTGTGCGGTTCTTTCACGTGCACTGATATCACCCAGTGAAAGAGAACCTAGCATTTCTTCACCATTGAATTGCGACCACCGCGGCTGGGATCACACTTGGTATCAGCAGGGGAGTACCGTTCTCTCTGTCCACCGCAGCAGACAACTTGGTTTGCAATTATTTAGGGTGGTGTCATGAGATCTTGGGGGAATATTAAGAGGGGGGACAGCGATGATGTATCTCTGTATACAACAATTTTAGAAACAGCGTGCACATCAGATGTAAAGAGCAAACTAGTCAGTTTCACCTGCTTGTAAGTGCGCCCATTCTTACCTGAAAGTGAGCACTGTGAGCGGCCGGTACGACTTGTGGCTTCGAGGATCCGCCATCGGTCGCCCCCAGAAATCGTTCATCCAAAGCGACGACAACGACGAAGATGCAGCGTGTCGTCTATTCTCTCCTGTGACGTCGGGGTTACCGACCACGGCCACCATGTCGTCGTGCACGAAATCACCATCCAGCGAGTTCACGTAACACAGCACGGCCACGACACCGGCGCACAACGCGGGCATCCACGTGGTCCAGGGCCTACGTTCCACGCCATTGTCGACGCACACCGATTCTTTGGTGGCATCGGCTCCACAGTCGCTTCGCTTTTGTGGTTGTTGTTTCGTGGGGTGTTGACATCGTTGCCAAATAAATGATGGTCGCCGCTGCTTGTGCTGATCCTCAACTGGTGTCGCCTTCACACTGACTGCTCGTAGTATCGTAGAATGTTTCAAGTAAGAGTGCGTCCTAGTTACTACAGAAACACACATGGCACTGAGCGACCCAGTCAACGCACGCACTGTGCCCGCAGTGCGCGTTTCTTTACTTCTACAAAGTCTGTGCCATGTGTCCAGGTGGCAGTATTTCCGATTGCCGTCTGTGTGATCTGAAAGTGTCGTCTTGGTAGACGCACCTCCAGATGTCTCCAGGTAGGCATGAAGCAGCGATGATTGCGCACCTCCGCTAAACCAGCCTCCTACAGCCATCGTTGAGATCCACACAACCAGCGTAGCACAATACAATCAAAGCACGCACGCTTTCATCGCTCTACCGTTCCAAGCAATACACTTTAATCACGCTAACAAAATCGATGAACTGCACAGACACACACACGCACACAAGCAAACCGAAAGCGTCACAGGACAATTTGGCGCTTTCCGAAGCACGTGTTAGTGCACAGGACGGCTTATTCTCGGCCACCGGTGAGAATCGAAGCGTATGTCCACTCAAGGCCTTCGTCTTGTGCGACACTCCCGGTGAAGTAGCGTGGTAATCCTTGGTAAATCCGTTCCACAGACGTATTTTCGGTTAATACAGCAAATGAATGGAAGGAGACAACACTGTCCTGTTTCTGTTTGGGGATGCGAACACCTGCCGCATGAGAAAGAAGGGCGTGCAAGACATCGTGAGTAGTGGTTCAGAAGAAACCAAAGGAAAACAAAACAGAACGTAAACCTATTTGAATACTACTGCTGCATCCTTCAGAACGCATCTTCTTGTGGACACCCAAACGTTGGTGGAATCACCCAGAAAGATATACAACCATTTTCCGGGGCTCGCACCTGGAAAAGAGCTCATCTGAAGCTACATGTTCACTTTCCAAAGACGTATGTGCACCTCCGAACACCTTTCGTTAACCTGCCGACGGGCTTTGGAAGGCGAAGCTTTGATACGACGATTCAGGCGCCACGTTGTATTAAAATAAAAGATAAGCTAAGAGCATGAATTGAGATTCACGCGCGCACTGGGCGGAAACATGGGCGACCATTCTCGCTGAGAGCGCCCGGCACGTGGAGCGCACAGCGGATAGGATGCACACGAACTGAACGTCACTGCAAAGCGAAAACCCCGGTGTGCTTCCGCGCATGCCCAGTAGAGGGCTTGCGCTGGCATGTTCAATGCGTCCTGTGGGCAGTGCTGCCATTTACCGGCTGGCGCAGATGTTGTGGGAGAGAGGTGCCGTAAAATCTCGCTTTTTGGACGCACGGATTTGAGGAGTGGGTACAGACTTCTCAGTCGAAGTAGGCGTGCGCGAATATTCGACACTTCCTACGTTGAATACTTGTATTGTCTTCGATTTGGAAATCACATTCACTACTAGAAATATTTTACCGCTGCAAGACTTCGTGTGAAATAATCAAATCAGCACAATATACTGCATACGTGTGATAAAATTTGCCATCCTTGGCACCGAAAAATGCAAATTAGTTTCAGTTGCCAGATTGTCCCCCTTTATCTCTCAGTTTCGCGCAATAGCGCCTATGCAGTAGTAACGTTTCTAAGTGGCGTAGCCAAGAATAGCATTTCGTGCGACACCTAGCATGTTGCACAAAATTCTCTAAATTACACTGAACAAAACCACCGAACAAAGGGTACAGTCATTGCGAAATTGAATAAAAATACCTGCAACTAAAAAAATTTACCTTTCATTTTGATTATTTTATGATAAAGCAGCCACGATAAACAACGTAACAATATCTTTACTTGTCTTATTCGACAAAGCAAGCATATAAGGTTAAAGTATGAGATGTAGCCCATTGAGCAGTAGTATGTTACAGTGAGTGGATATAGGAACGGTGACATGCACATGTGGTAGCAGTTAGGTCATACAATTCCTAAATTGACGGATGAATACAACTGTATCCACTGCCAAGCAAGGTTTGAATTGACCCAGGCTTAGGTCTCCTTCGGGGAAACGTGAATGCTTTGCCTCAACACCACCTCACGAGCTTCCCGGAGTGCAAGCATATGAATGCTGAGGTCTGAGCTGCTCCGAATGGCTGCCCACATTGACGGAAGGCTCCTGTAAATAATTTGCTTGACAAAAACTTGCTTATTGATGTCTTATTGATGGAACAAATTTTTAAAATTCAGTTGTGCTGTTCCTGAGTAGGTAATAATTACAAACAAGATTGCACTAATAACATTAACCAACTATTGTGACGTATTTCTTCAAGTGAGAAATTTAAAGAAAATTACTCATTACTTTCTTACTTCTGACTTGAAAGCACTCTTCTTGAGGCATGAACCAATTGTCCTAAATGAAAACAAAATAACAAAAACAAGTTATTTTCAGGACATAACAAGTTTGGGAAGTTAAACGAAAATCTTTTAAGATTTTCATGAGTAGGCGCTGTTAGTAAAGACTACATAAATGGCCCACAAATGATAAACTTTCCTCACAGTAACCTACAAGTATTGTCATAGCCTTTGAGAGGTAATAGCTATGTAACACCATTTCTTTGGTCCAAAGACAACTTCAACATAATTTCACCACCGTGCAGGAGTAATTTTCTAATCTCTTTACTATACATTAGGAAAACGCGGAAAACTTGAGAAAGCAAAAAGTACTGCGCTAAACCTGGTACAATATATGCATCAAGTTGAGGCGCTCGGTGGGAAGGCTATGTAGCCGTGTTTTCAATCGAGAAAAACCAACGAATGCTCCAGCAAATACCAGCCTCCTGTGGCAAGGGTAGCGGTGGTGGTGCGGTATATCGCTCGCTGTCTGCAGACTCTGAGGCGCTTGGTGTTCATATCATATGTGACCTTCCTTCTTGAATGTGAACAAGTCTACATGAAGACAAGGTTAAAGCAAAATGAAGCAAATAGAAACAAGAGCAAAGGAAGTAGACATTATGGTACACACGCTGTTTTTCTGATTTACATACATGAAGATCATTACTGTCTCATAATAATCAGTATTTCTACAGGTGTATTCATTTAGCGAATGGCTGCCTGGGTTTATAATTTTCTTTCAAAAAATGTTGCCATCATATATCTTCCGTTTACACTAAACAATTCCCCTTCTTCTGTTTGAACACAACTGATCCTGCCACAGTGCTGTTATTGATTATGAACTCATTTTCTGTGAGTAACATCTGGGAGATGGTTCCCCAAAATATTAGTGTGACAGGAATTTTTTTTAGATTTACTCTACATAGTAGCTTGTATTGACACATCAAACGAGCTTTATATAATTCAATGGTGCAAATTTCCGAGAATCAATAATAAAAGCAACGTGAGAAATCTAAATGCAAATAATGTTGTAATAGCCGAAATTCTAGGACAAACTGTCAAAGAAGAGGGACATTCGTTGAACAAACTGCACGTGGAAGTATTTCTCCCGTGCACATTCTGGAGACCACCGTACACTGTAAACGATTTGCAACCCAAAGGGGGGTTTACCAAATCTGAAACAAACACCTAACAATGAGGGTGCTTTGAAAAACTAAAACACCGCTGTCAAGGGTGTTTTGGTGATTCAAAACACCCATGTCGTAGGGTGCTATATGTTCGCCAAGCGCCCTTGAGGGTGCCAACTGGTTTACAGTGTAACAGCACGAGATTAGTTCAGTGAGAGGCTCAAAACTGTATGAGCTGTTTCGGGAGAAAAATGTGGGAAACGTACAAATTAAAGGTGTCCGTGCTCACTAAGGAACGTAAATACGGTTGCAGAAAGCCAACAAACAGTAATAAATATTTAAACAAAAGTCAAGCAGGAAATATGATAACTTGAATAACAAGAGCAAAGCAAAAAGTTATAGTAACGAATTTTAATACGCCTGCTACGTGCAAAGTCAGCTGAACAAGAAAATCAAAACGAAAAAAAAAGAACAGTGAGCAGTAGTAACTAGTTCTTGAAGAACAGTATAAAGAGGCTAATTTGTGTCTGCTTGTAGGCGACATGGCAAATGTTGTTGTGGTGTATGGCGTAAGAAATAAAAAAAAATTGGGGAACCTAAAGCTTCGCCTTTAGGAGGTGAACGTGATAGCGACTTCCTGTTCGTAGTGCGTACTTCAGACATTTAGTGCATGAAACTTTTCGAATTCGCTATGCACCCACTACGTGGCCTAAAGGAGTATAGGCTCAGTAGCGTGTGCGTCTTTTGTAGAGGAACACCGGCTTTCAACCCCTGAGCCATGATGATAATCACATATTCTGACTACCGTTGGCATTGGACACTTGACCACGCATCATTGATGCAATATTTAATGTTGCATTGTAAAGCATATACAAAGAACGTGTGTGGTTGTGAAGCATGACAGCTACTTTTACTGCATTTACAAGCAGAGGAAGTTCTGTTCACTGTTTTTTCAATGCTATAGCGTTAAAAAGCTTTTTACGCAGAAATTCCGGCGTTAGCGTCGTTAGTTGTGAGCAAAAAAACATCTTATGCGTGACCGAGAAATAAAGAACGATGCAGATAAAATAACTAAGTGATAAAAAATACTGGAGCAGAGTGGGGACCGAACCAGGGTTGCTTGCGAGACAAGCGGATGTTCTACCACACGGCCATGTCTCTACTTGTGAGAAGTGTGAAAAGAATTTTCTCTGCTAGGAAATGCAGTTAAAGTACCTTCATGCTATACAAGCGCACACGTTCTTTGAACATGTTTCGTGATGCAAAATGAAATATTCCAGTAATAATGCGTGTTACAAGGTTTGATTTTCAACGAACGCCCGAATATGCGATTATTATAATGGCTCCGTCAATGAAAGCTGGTACCCCACTACAAAAGGCACGCAAACTACTGCCCCTATTCTCTTAAGGCCACGTAATGGGTGCATAGTGAAGTCGGAAAGGTTTCGTGCACTAAATGTTTATAGTATGCACTACGAACAGTAGGTCGCTATTGCGTTCAACTCCTAAAGGCGAAGCTTTATGGTTCCCTAACCTTTAAACATCCGCTTGTCCCGCAAACGACTTGGGTTTGATCTCCCACTCGGACCCCAACAACCTTATTAGTTATTTCTCATTATTTATTTATTTAATTTTCATCGTTCTCGACGTTTGGGTTAAGCATAAGATGATGAATTTTCGCTCACAACAACGGCGCCCACGCCGACACCGGAATTCCGGCGACGCTAGCTCTTTAACGCGATTGCGTTAAAATATTAGCAGAAAGAGAAAGATATAGAAGGCAGACCACTCACCGCACACGAGTGTTGAAACACAAGGAAAAGATAGAAAAAATGGCGAGG